TCTTTCCAGGTGGGATGCCAGATTCAAAGTCAGGTGCCACTGCTGCTAGGAGTCTGCTGAGATGTCTCCTTTTTGCAGCGCCTTGACAGAAGACCACTGAATATATCCAGAAGATGTTGGGAGGCTTAAATCTTAACCAGGTATTTCAATTTTCATTGATGCCTCCCAACTAAGAACAGATAAATGGTCTGATAATGGAAGGATGGATAAAAATGTTCCTTTTTGATCCATTATTATTCCTGATATAGCTGGAACGTCACCACGAAAACACACAGAGTAGCCACAAATCACCCAAGTAACATAAAAAGCCTTTACAGATGTGGTATTGAGCTTTATCACGCTTTGACCTTTCTGCTTGTCATATTAAATCAATGTCAGATCAATTTCTCGGCTCATTAATTTATGTGGGGTGGATTCAGGTTTTAGTGTGTCCTGTTTTCTCAAGCAACTCGCTGGCGGCCACATTCCCCAATAAAACACTGCCATCTTGTGGCTTGTTTGCTTGAGGCAGGAGGTTGAATATCTGGGCCATAAAGAGCTGTGGTAGCTATAAATGTTTTAACAAGCTATCAGGTCGTCTGTTGTAAGTCTTCAGGCTAGAGATCAACAAAAGGAAAACACTGGGTGACATATTTTTAAGATAGGTGAGCATAATCAGCTGGTGTCCCGATGACCTGGTTGCGAGTATACAGGCTAAATGATGATTGGAAGACTGATTCGTTTGTCATATGCTGCCCAGGCTATATTTTGTTTATTTCAGCACTATAATTGAGTTTTGTCCGAGCACATTTGGCTTAACCTTATCAAAGCATCAGCAAAGGAATGTGGGTTACACATATTCTGCATCTAGGCCTTTGTGTACTATCATGCATTTAAGATCCCAATATGAGGCTGGACATGAGCGCTTCAAATTACACAGAGTCGTGGCCTTTGCGACGTAAAACTCAAACGTACAGGCAGTTCTGGAGAATGATATTTCATCTTTCATGCACTCAGTAGGGCAGCTCTCATGATTCTGCCAAGTAGCTGCGCTGTGTGAGAGAAATCAAAGCGCAGGCGTCGAGTCGGGAGGGAGCCTATCTTGCGCAGACTGGGTACTGTACATGGCCATTGATGCTGGTGGATAGATGGAGCCCCTGATGTAAATAAGAATGGCGAGGGCAACGGGTCTAACGTACCGTGTTATCTCTGCTTGACATCGGAACATTGTATGCTACCATCGGGATTGTAGAAAAAGCGAGTTCCTTTCTCGTTTTCTTCTGAATCTGCCTGGACAGCACGCCTGATGGTTTTTATTTGACACAAGAGCCAAAGCAGACGGGCGGCTTCTTCTAATAAACACTCGGGAAAAACAGGTCATTATGACCTTAGTATCCTCCAGTAAAAGAAAACCATCGGATTGCTTTTACGCGGCAGCATTCTGCTTGCATTTTTTAATTTGGATTTCGTGTGCCGTGTCCGGAGAGGAGGATCATCAGTTCAGCGTTGAGGTAAGATAAATGGCCTTCCCTCCCTGGTTATCATAAATGACCGTGCTCTATCCTCCCTATCATCTGTGTCAGCCTGAAAAACATAGGCTGTCTCCTGACTCTATCTATAGGCACAATTGCCATAAAGTAAAACACTGGAGACATTGTAAGCCTATCAGGACAGCTCACCACTGAAAGGCGAAAATATCGAGCAGTCCTCATTTGTAGGGCGCAATGAAACAGAAGGATGCTCATTTGAGGTTATTACACTGCGGTCCATGAGCTGAGGTGATCCAGCCCGATGATCCCAAATGTGCAATCCATATATGATTCCACTTAGAGAGGTCTATTTTAACAGAGATGCCCCACATCGTTATGTTTTCATCGCTAGGCATACAGGCCAACATAACGGCAGACATGCTTTGGCAGCTTCATAGTGTTGGAGGAGATTAAACATCCACAGACACAAGTTGCATAATAGGATTGGCTTTTTTGTACCTTATTAATTGATGTCATTTCCATTCTCACCACAGACTCCCCTCCCACCACTGTAGAAATTAAATGCTGAGTCTGACAGTCACACACACACACACACACACACACACACACACAACATCATCATTATTCAATTTTATGGCTCACTGAAATCTGCCCGATAGCTCACGGAGATCTGTGCCTTTAAACAAACAACACACACAGGAAACACACCCACAGGACAGAAGGGAGAGAAAGAATAAACAAGGCGTTAGCTCAGCAGAAAGGGGGATACAGGCAAAAGGGGGAGGGATGGACAGAGGAGACAACTAGTCACATTAGTTAGCTGGGGCATATCTCATATGCTGTGTAGTGATATCTGAGGCATGTGGTTGGTGTGTGGTCATGGCGGACAGTGTGGGCACCTCCTGGCCCTCAGCATTAGGCTTGAGTTTGGCAGTGACCCATGGATGGTGCTCAGTCTCACCTTTCTCCTCTGCATCAAGTCACACTCTCACTTTGTAGGGCAAGAGGAGGCAGGGCCGCAGTTCTGCACATGAACACGGACCAGCAGCTGCAGGACACCAACTCTGACTGAGGTCACTAGTGGGGATTCAAATGTGAATGTTGCTTTGATGCCCACAGCAAACATACAGACACATAAAACTAAATCACCACTGGGTCGACAATCTAAGAAAACGCGTGGCTGTTTTAATGTAAATTATAAGTATCTCATAAAAACACTGCATCCAGACTGTGATGTTAATATATGAATATAAGCACAGCAGCTCATTCTCAGTCCTTGTGATAATGAAAAATGATTGTAGCAGTGGTTAATCAGTTCACAGCCTCTTGCTAGAGGCAGAAGTAATGACTCACAGCTATATTCGTATTGATTTTTATTATTAGTAGAGGGAAGGAAGCAGGTTTATTGTTGGAGTCCTGCCAGTTACCCTACCACCACTTACTGGGAAACTGGGTAGGTTAGCTAAACAAACAGTTCAGTTCAGTTTCAGTTTTATTTGTGTAGCACCAAATCACAACAAAAGTTGTCTCAGGACACTTTACAGTCCTCAGTTAAGTGGTGCCATATCTCTGGTCTGCGTTTGTACTGGCCAGCCTCCCAGCATTATGTAAAGTTATTTAACAAAAGAGAGAATATGTTAAAATGGGTACATGTGAAACAAAATGATGGAAACCTACATATCTGCAGTTAATGGGAAGACATGGAGAGAATAGCCTTTCTTTCACTAGTCTTTCACTATTGATGTATTGTGCACAATGCTCAGAACCTTGTCGTCACTGATTAACTCGTTTATTATCTCAATAAACTTGGGCATCATGATTTCTTGGCAGAAAAATGCTGATGTAATTTTAGCCCAGCACCTGTTTTGTATGTCATCTCCCAGGCAATCCACATTTTGTTACTCCCGATTTCTCTCGACTCTGAGCTTTTTAATGAAAGGAAAGAGTCTAAAATAATAATAATAACCCAACTCTTTCTACTTCCTCACCCTCATAGGGATGGCTACAGAGGTATGGCTACCTTCCCCGCACAGAACCGGAAATGTCTGTCCTGCGCACAGTCCAAACCATGCATTCAGCCATTGCTGCCATGCAGCGGGTCTATGGTCTCAATGTCACAGGGACACTGGATGAGAAAACTAAGGAGTGAGTATCCACACACGCATGTGCTTGTACAAACACAAGCTGAGATGCACATAAACTTTATGGAAATTAATGGAAATGCTCCATTCGTTCATTTAAATATCAACATTTCAATGAATTAGTGAATGACAGAAATAGAGATGTTCATTTCACCCCCATCACTTCGCCTGAAACAACCTCAGGTCAAGGTTTTAACCCTTTTCCTTCTTCTCATTTTGCATGATGATGCAGTGATATCACACTGAGGTGAGAATTCATGTGTTCTTGTGTGTTTTTGTACCTGAGATATTCTGGGGTATGAATGAGAACCATGAAACACTGATTTCCTCTCAGCTCTCATTGAGGGTTTGATACTACTCATCATACAGTATGTATTGATGGCTGTAGTTTGGAGTAGATCAGTGGTATTTTGCACAACATTCCCTTATTTTGCTGCTGTGTTTAACTGGCACCTGTCAGGAAGAGAACCACTGAGTTCTCTTCTCTTCTCTTCTTATCTTGTTCCTCTTTAAGTTGGATGCAAAAGCCTCGCTGTGGAGTTCCGGACAAAGTTAAAAGTGCTTCTAGGTCACGGACAAAGAGATACGCGCTGACTGGCCAGAAGTGGCAGCGTACACACATCACCTACAGGTGAGAGACAGTTGTCATAGTGACCATTCAGTTCAGCAGCGTTCACTGTAGAGTTCAGATGTGCCAGTGTTAATTTTCTCAGCTCTCTTTCTCTCTTTTCCTTGCTTCTCTTTAACCACCAGGGATCACACGCTCTTTGTTGTCATAGAGACTGTGCAAATACTGTACGTCACATATGAGTAGGCACACAAAAATATAGTCACAGTCACACATTCAGAAACACATAGATTAACACATACATTTGCCCATGTGCGCTGTGAGTATGTTTACTTTCCAGTGTATAAATAGCTTGTTGTCAAAATGAAATATTGGATCTGGCTCTTTTTTTTAAATACTCTATCATTTTATTTTTCCTTTTCATTAAACGAAGTAAACTAATTTCTCTAAGCGGCACGAAGAGTGAAGGCTTTCCTCTCTCTCATATAAACCTGTTTCAAAAAACCTGAGTGTAAATTGTCTGTAATCTCAGCAGAAATATTCTTTCTCTCATCTTATCTCACCTGATTAAGCTCTAGATTTTAATAGGCTCTGAGGAGAACTGATAAACGTGTCTCTGGCGCAACTGCAAATTGACAGGTTACAGCAATAATAGACGATAACACTGTCAATTTATTCAAATCCTTCCTTCCTCCCTGAATTTGAATTGATGAGCCACCTCTCCTAATGGAATGTCAATCAGTGCTGAGCCGGTGCTGCTGCTGCTGACTGCACTTTATTCAGGAAAATGAGTGGAGAGAGAGAGTGAGGGAGAAGATTTCCCATTCCTCTCTGCCTGCCAGGGACTGATAACGACTCCTGTGTTAAAAGTTCAGTGAAAGCTGCCAGGCTTGAAATAGTTGTGTCAAGTGCAACTTTTTTTTTTTCCTGAGTGTCTCCTCATTTTGAAAAATAAAAATGTTCACTTGAAATGAATAGGATAACAAGGCATGGGGTTAATGTGGTCTGTAATTTAACTTCTCCTGAATGTTTTATTCCCTGTAGTTTCCACTAGCTGTGTGATTGCTGCACCAGTTACATTCATGTGTTTTACTTTTACAACCAATTTGGAAAGAACAGCAGTGCTGTTAGCATTTTCCTAGCCTGATAGCCTCCAACTCTGAACAACATTTTCAGCTGGTGCACTTGTTTCTCCGCCCACAGTATAAAAAATGTCACACCTAAGGTGGGTGCCCGGGAAACCCACGATGCCATCCGGCGGGCGTTTGACGTATGGCAGGGTGTGACTCCTCTGCGCTTTGAGGCCGTTCCATACAGCGCCCTGGAGACTGGCAGGCGTGACGTGGACATCACCATCATCTTCGCTTCAGGATTTCACGGTGACAGCTCACCCTTCGATGGGGAGGGAGGATTCCTTGCCCACGCCTATTTCCCTGGCCCAGGGATAGGAGGGGACACACACTTTGACTCAGATGAGCCCTGGACCCTGGGGAATCCCAACCATGATGGTAAGCAGAGGAGAAAACAGCTGTAAACCCTATGTCGAGACAGAGGCGGTGTTGGTAATAAGGATGATAAGGAGTAAGACAAGAGGATGAAGAGCAAATAAGGAGAGAGTAAAGCAAAAGTAAGGAAAAGAAACTATTAAAGGAAGTGATTAAGATTAGGAAAAAGAAAAGGACAGATAAAAAATGGGTTGCTGAAAGTTGACAGGGAGGTAAATAAATAAAGGCTGTGGAAAGAATTGAGGAAAGCATAGAGAAGGAGAAAAAGCAATTAAAAAAGATAAGGACAGATGGAAAACATATAATGGAAATATAGATGGCTATGCAGGAGGGCAATATGTAAGAGCACAGTATCACAGGGCAGGGTATGAGTAATGGTTAACTGAAAACAAAGAATGCAAAGATGCCTTTGATCGAACTGTGATCTGTAAGACGCATCAGCCTATCTGTCAGGATTTTGATGTTTTCTCCTGCATAATAAACTCTTCAGGTGACAGGTGAGAGAGCCCTGCTATTTTAAGGCACTGGTTGCTGGCACATGATTTTGGCCATTCTGTTTTTAGTTAATTTGATGTATGCTTCAAATAAAGTCTACATAAAAGTAGCAGATAAACAGCGATACAATAACTTGAACAGCATTTTAAGGTCATGTTATGTTATGTTAGATTTGGTTATTATAAGCTTATTAAGGTTATTATAAGCTATATTATGAAGTCTGGTCAGGTGAGGTCATGTTATGTTATGTTAGATTTGGTTATTATAAGCTTATTAAGGTTATTATAAGCTATATTATGATGTCTGGTCAGGTGAGGTCATGTTATGTTATGCATCCTGCCAGTGTGTTTTCTGGCAGAGTGCAGCAGCTCAGAGCGATGCCTTCATTAGCCATGCAACCAAACACACTTAAATTACCCTACCTATAGGGTGCCAGGCTTCTCAGAGCAGCAGTGTGGGGGTGGGGGTCTGTTTCCCTCCCATCAGCTCCTCTCCATCTCTCACTTTTTGTTCTTATACTCCAGTGGTAATTGTCAGAGTCCCAAGTCAGATTCATGCTCACCCTTGCGCAGTGTCCCGTGGTTCTGTGGTGTGCTGAGGCTGATTCTGAAATGCTGCCTCAGCTTACAAGTCTGGAAAGCTGGAAAATCTGCAGTCTTTAATGGGCTTTCACAGCGGTGTAATTGTACATTAAATGCTGCATGTTGACCTGTGCTCTAATGGCAGCTCCGGCTTGTCTCCTTATGGGATATGTTTGGTCAGGTGGAAGAGGCTGGTTGTGTGACATAAATAGGGGAGGGGAAGGTGTAACCTTTTAGCTGCTGACTGAGGGTCAGTGGCTGTTCTTTGCAATGCTGCTGGCAGGAGTGGGTATCATATTTTAAAGGGCAACAATCTCCTAGGGAGATTCAGTCACAAGCTATACACAAATGGTGTACTTCTTTCTAAATCAGGTTGACACTGAACTGAGCATTGTCTATAGACACTGACCAGGACATACATACAAAAACTAGACTCTCTGTGGTTCACATGTGGCTGATCTTCTCCTATGGAACAAAAGAGACAAAGTGCTCATGTTTAATGCTTTACCTCCAGTAACCTTTACCTTCACTATACAGTACTGCAGCACATTAGCTCAATGGAAGTTGCATTATTTGCATAGGGCTGCAAATAATGATTATTTTTGTTGTTGAGTAGTTAACTGATTATTTGTCAGTTATGTGTTTTATCTGTTTAAAAAAAATGAGTACAAAGTAATGTTTTACATTTTCTCAGGGTTGTCCAATGTCCAAACAAAAATCCAAATCCCAAACATGTTCAGTTTACAATGACATAAATTGAGAAGAATAAGTTAGTTCTCACATGTAAGATCCAAGCTAATGTCTGACATGTTCTTCTTTAATGGCTACAGTAATAACTGTTGTTGGTGATTTATTTTCTGATGACTGACAAATCAAATAGTCACTAAAGATTATAGTGTACAGAGTTCATAGATAAAGCAAAACGGTAGCTATACAGGTACCCATGATCATGAGTGTATCTGTTTTCTACTGATTTATCATAATTATAGCTGCGTTCATTCTTCTCCACCTTCTGTATGTACTGTATATGTCGTACGTAGCATTCTCAATGCAGTTGTCCTCGTCCCTGTCCAGGAAATGACCTGTTCTTGGTTGCGGTTCATGAGCTGGGCCATGCTCTCGGTCTGGAGCACTCCAACGACCCCACTGCTATCATGGCTCCTTTCTACCAGTACATGGACACAGAGAACTTCAAACTACCTCACGATGACTTACAGGGCATCCAGAAAATCTACGGTAACCCTCTACTTCATACATTAGTCTCTTTCTTTTGTCTGTATATGACAGATGATGAAAGATAGACTAAATTCCACTAGTGAAAAACTAATGGTAAAGATAATAATAATAATAATAATCTTTATTTATACTGCACTTTCCAGCTCAAGAGCACAAAGTGCTACAGCAATAAAAACATAGTAATACAATATCAGTTAAGAACACTCATAAACAGACAGAAGCCAAATAGATATCCAGCGTCTGATATAGGCCAACTCCCACCCAGCCGGGGGGTTAACCGTGGTGGCCTAGAGGAGCAATACACACACTAATATATTAAAACTAGTTAAGAAATAAATTATTAAAGGTGACGAAAAGATGACTGTTCCAACACTGCACTGAAGTTGTATCACAATGAAATATTAATAATGAACATCTGAAGTAACCCAGGCACTATTACAAATACTGATGCATCACTCATATTGGCTTGAATGCCAGTAAGCAGCATCTGTCAGCTGTTAAATAGACCAGTCAGCAGGCATTTTCAAAGCAAATTGAGTCAGCGAACAGAGCTCCTAAGAGGCCAAATCATCTGTGCCAAAATTAAAGGTGTATTGGTCAAAACACTTTAAACATATTTAATAGCTCTCTGGGGACAATCAAAAAATAGTTAACTTTACTGAGAAACAGGGTCTATATAGACAGAGGATGGAACACCTTCTGTTTTGGTCTTTCCAGGTCCACCAGATAGAGCCCCGCAGCCTACCAGGCCCCCGCCCACGGCCCCTCCTCCTCGATTTCATCCTCCCTCGGACCCCCGCAAGCATGACCGACATGCCAGACCCCACCGCCCCCCACAGGGGGCCAAGCCCTCCAACCCTAACTCTAAACCTAACATCTGTGATGGAGGCTTCAACACTCTGGCCATCCTACGACAGGAGCTTTTTGTGTTCAAGGTAGAACAGGTCATCAGCAGGAGTAAACATAACTGCAGCTGTTAGAGTAGTTTGGGATGATGATGATGATGATGGCGATGGGAGTGATCATGATTCTGCATTATCTATTTCTATAGGACCAGTGGTTCTGGAGGGTACGGGACAACTCAGTAGTCCCCGGCTACCCCATGCAGATCAGCTACTTCTGGAAAGGCTTGCCTCCCAAAATCGATGCTGTCTATGAAAATAGTGAAGGGAAATTTGTCTTTTTCAAAGGTATTAAACAAGTCAATTTCCTATCTTGGATTATTTTTTTAATGTTTTAAAAATACTGTGCAGTAACAGGATGGGAACACGTCCGGTACGACCATGCGTCCATCAGGCAGATTAACATGACATCTGTCACCCAGTGGGATCAGGGTGCCTCATGCTTTATTTATTCACTCAGGGAGATTTAACTGTGTGTGTACGTGTTTGTGTGTCTTTGTGAGTGTGTAGTGCTAGCACACACACCGATGCAGCTCCCCCCTTTCTGCCGGAGGCGCTTATAGTACGATCAAACTGAATTAAATGCAACAATAGCTTCAATAAAGCTCAAAACAACAAGTCGTGGTGGAGTTGCCTTCGGAGCATCTCACGGTTTATTGTATGATAGATAACGCTGCATTTCTGCTGTGCAGAAATTTTGTGAACGTGGTGATACTTCTGACCTTTGAAATCACGTGAATAGAAATAAAAAGACTTGCAGGCAAATGAGCTGATATTCTGTTTGGTCTTGTGCGATTTTTGAGATCATGTTTCTGATCATGTATTTGTCCCAAAGCCTCCTAATGTTTTTGTGCGTATTTTAGGAAACCGTTTCTGGGTGTTCAAGGACACAACTCTCCAGCCTTCATACCCTCAGGACATCTCGCTGTTCGGGAGCGGCATGCCCACTCAGAGTATTGAGACAGCTGTCTGGTGGGAGGATGTCGCCAAAACCTACTTCTTTAAAGGAGACAGGTCTGTGTGGAGTGATTATACTGTCATGAAGTTAAGCAATCTGGGAGAACTGGAATCTCTCAGAGCAAAAAATAAGTGCTGTGAAGACAATAGGTGACTGAAATCTCCTTAAATCTCTTTTGTTTATGTCAGGAAAATTACTACATGTTACTAAGTAGCACATGCAATCATCGTTGTCATTTGGTTTTTATAAGTGTAAAACAATATGTTGAGGAGTGGATTTTACAAACAAAAGGAAAAAAGAGAAGCACCTTCCCTTCTGTTCCTCTTTATTGATGCAATATTTGTCTGTGTTTGGAACATTTAATGAGTTTTGAGACTGCTTCCATGAGTTGTTAAATAATTTTGCAGGTTTGTTGATCAATGCATCTTTGATTTTGGCATTTGGCATCCTTGAAGCTCTGCAAGCTGCCTCATGTTGCTTTGAGACCGCTGATTGCCTCTTTAATAGCAAACAAATACTGGTTATTGGTATCCACCCTGCTATGACTTAGCGTAAGCAACATTTGTAATGGTAATTGCATTACTTCAGGGTAGCAGGGAGTTTAGTGTTTTTCTTTAAAACAAAAATACATACATAATGTCGTGTAACTGTTTGGATTTTTCCAGATTTGTAGTTAGTTACCTGTACTGCACTGGAAGTAATGTGAAACCAGGGATTCATTCCAAAATAACCACATCAGAGAATCTGTTGTTTATCTATGTGCGTTGCAAAGGTCTTAAAGTTTAAGTGTATGCCAGTGTGACTCACATGTTTGTGCAGCTGTCATGATAAATCATATCATAACAGGTCTGGAGACCCTGTGGTGAGAGCTGACAAAATGCTTTGTCATGATACTGTCATCCCTCAACCTGCTGCTGCACATCATGACAAACAGGACGTTCTGTCCATCCTCGCAAACATGATTTTATCTTCCTGTCTCTGTGTGACAGTGTGGTGCTTGTTCTCATTTAAAGAAATGACACTGTGTTGCAAGAGTTGTGCGTGTGAGAAGCAGATCAATCACAAGAACCGCCGAAGCAAATCTGCATGACAGATAAATGCAATGTAATACGGATGACAGACTGACCGTGTTCTCTGAATTAAATCATCACATGATCACACTGAGAGGGCAGATTGTTATTTTAAGTCTCAAATTACAAACAGCAGAGTTTGTAATAGTCCAGGGCAGTGCCAGAATTTGGCTACCATTATATTAAGCTACCGCATACAGCTTTGATGTTGCCAAGTTGAGCTTTAACATTTACTTCTTTGGTTCTTGAATACCTGTTTGGCTGGTGAAGTAGCTCCGTTTGTCTCAGGGAGTTAAGAAAACAAACACTGAGCCAATCTTTCAAGATGATTTTGGTGCTGCTGGTAGTTGACAGGGATAGGACAGGGGCGTTAAAATCACCTTTGTGTAGAAGCATTAGTGTAATGTTTTGTTGCTACTGGATTTGGTAATGGCGATGTCCAGTTGCACCACTTTCTGTGTGTATGTATGTGTTTATTGCTCAATTTCCTCCTACAGGTATCAAGGGATTAAAGGATAAGGCTGACCATGTTCTGTATTAATAGTATTTTCAGCAATCTCCATACAGAGACTAAAACATTCAATGAACTGCCTCTACTCACAGCTAATGTCTGTCAGCTGTCAGGCCTGGATTAGCTTGGTGGTCTATGCGATGGATCTTCGTTGTTTAAAAATGATTAAGCCACATCAGGGAAACACTTCACTGGCTGACACGTTTTTCATTACGAAACCCCAAACCAGACTATGCTGCCCTAGAGGCTTCATGCAGCCATAATTTCCTGAAGTTTGCTAATAAAGAAATATGTCACCCAGTGCAGGGGCGTGTTTCCTAGATGTGTTTTTCATCCTTTCTGAACAACAACAGAGGCCTATGGCACAGATGAAGAAGCTGCTCCAGGACTCACACACTCACGGACAATAACCTTGAGTACAGAAAATGACCAACCTTATGCTTTATGTACATGACTTGGAAACCTTTTCATTTCTTTCTGTCTTGTTGTAGATACTGGAGGTACAATGAGGACATGAGGACCATGGACCCAGGTTATCCCAAACCCATTACTATCTGGAAGGGCATCCCTGATTCTCCACAGGGAGCTTTTGTGGATAAAGCCAATGGTATGACAGTTTCACCGACTGTAAATCCAGGCGTTTTACACGCTAGCATCATATTAACATCGTTTGTGAGAAACAGTGACATGTATAAAAGATCGATCTCAGTTCTAGATCAACACCTTCAAATAAATAGACCTAGTTTCTATTTACATGTAGTTGTCTCCTATTATTTTAGCACTGAATATAACCAAATAGTATTAAAATAGGAAGTTGAAGAAAAGCATTTTTCCCCAATGTTTACTCCAACTTTATGGTTTCATTTTTTGGTTTTCTGGAATAAATGTCTAAACCAGTGTGCATCTTTTTTATAATGCAGTAATTTGAAGTCAGGGCACCTGCACACCTGCTTCACAGCAGGTGCAAGAAACGGGTAGTAAATAATGTAAAACAGAAGCCTCATCCATTGATATATATTTGATGGCTCTACTGCACTATAAAGTGTCACAGGTGACTAAAGAATACCTGTTGTGTCTTTGTTTGTAAAATTGTGAATTGAAATAAAATCCTTCTGTCCAGGTTTTACCTACTTTTACAAGGGAAAGGAGTACTGGAAATTCAACAACCAGCTGCTTCGCGTAGAGCCCGGTTACCCAAGATCCATCCTGAGGGACTTCATGGGCTGTGACGGCCTCCCTGCAGACCCCGACTGGGACTGGAACCCCCCAGTGGCGGAGGAGCGCCAATATGACAATGGCGACGCGGACGTTGTCATCAAACTGGATAGCTCTGGTGGCACGGAAAAAGCAGTGGCCATTGCTATCCCCTGTGTCCTGGCGCTGTGCATGATGGTCCTCCTCTACACCGTTTTCCAGTTCAGGAGGAAGAGCACGCAGCGCCACATACTGTACTGCAAGCGCTCCATGCAGGAGTGGGTGTGAGGGGTTGCTACTGCACTGTATAGAGAGGAGTGTGAAGCTCAGATAAGGTCTAGTTATTGCTTGAAGCCCTAAGTACAGTAATTGGAAGCACTGTAAAGGGTGCAGTACATAAGGATTGCCATGTTGGCAGATTTTAAAACTGCTCGAACCCCTAATGTGCAAGCTGCAAGAAAGCAAAATGATCAGCAGAACTCAACCGAGGACAGTGAGGCAGCCACATCTCCTATGTCCAACTGATATGTATGTATCTGCTTAGACTTTTTTTCTGTATCTTGGAACGAACTCAATTAAGTGAGACAGAGTTAAGCTACTGTACTGTAAGTGGGACCTTTGTCTATCCTTGTCCTTGCACGCCGCTTAAAAAGCCCCTAGCAACTAACTTCAGTGGACAAATTAGATATAGGCTTCTACTTTACTTTAATTTCTTAATTAAATTGCCCTGAGCTGTGCTTTCTTTTTTCTTTTTTTCTTTCTTTCTTTCTTTTGGGGTCTCTGTAAACGATTATTCATTGTGTGGAGGACTGATATACGAACCAAATATGACCTTTTCTTCCAAAGAGGATTACTGCTTGATGTTGTTTTTAATGGGATATTTTTCCTCCATAGATCAAACATTGTGGCATCATACTCAGATTTTCTTTTGCCATTTCTATTCATATCCACCCGTCTGCTCTGTAATCTGTGGGGATAGCAAGCAGCCGTTAGTAAGAGCTCAGAACTCAAGACTGTTGTGGCAGTCTGTCTCCAAAACAGGGGCCAAAAATCTCTCTGCAATATTTATGAGACTGCCTTAATCACAGATAGCTTAAACTCACTTCTCTTTCTCTCTCTGTTTCTCTGGTAGCTGGTTATAGATTAACACAGCAGGAACACAAACAGTGTATGAAGCCATTAATTACTGCCCATAATGCTATTCCAAAATGAGTAGGTCAGGACAGTTTGATCACAATGCATTCATTGCGCTTGAAAATGTGTTAAGCTGTACTAAAAGATTTCGACTTGATGATAGTAAATAATATCAGCTATCATTTTGCCTCACCAGAGGGTATGAGAGACAAAGGAAAGGCTAGTTGTGTGTGTGCATGTGTGTGTGTCTGTGTGTGAAAGAGTAATTACCCACATTATACTGTATATGTACCATACTGTGGTGTCAGTTATTGAACAGCTAACATCCCGCTTCCCTTATTTAGACACTAACACTCCAAACACGTTTTAAACTGCTTTACTAATCCATACATTTTTTTCAACTTTTATACAAGATTTGTAAGTTTACGTAATATTTCCCACAGGACAGAACACGGACAAGAAAGAGAAAAGAGAAAGGATGAAGGAAAGCTGCAATTTTAAAATGATAACGTATACAGTATTTCTAAATAAACAAAAATCATCTCTGCTTCTCTGATTAACCAGGTACACCAACATTGTGTTAGTGGCCACTGCCCAGATTGCTTCATCAAGTTGTACTAATAGTTTTTGAGGAAATGCAAAGTGAAGCTGTTGTAAAAAAAAAAAAAAAAAGAAAGAAAGAAAATACACCCTAACAATAAATAAATAAAAAAGCTTATCTGAATTATGGATGTCAGAAAAGAAGCTGAACTGGTTTTGGCTGTGTGTTAACAATAATAATGTAAGCAGGTTATTTTATGCACTGAAACTCTAATTAAACATCAGACTAAAAACTACACTTTTGTTAAATTAACAAACTACTAATGCATTTTTATAGAACTACTCTAACATTGTTGGAATTAACAGGCATATTAGAAAACCAAAACCAGCTAAATTAAGTTAGATGGTCAATATTTCACATATATATCATGATCTGTGGTGTTACACATGCAGCATAAATGTCTCAAAACTTTAATCAGGTAAGTATGAAAAACAAATGATAAAGCATTTAAAACAGTATGAAGATGGAGCTCAGCTGAGCAGAAGCTTGTTCTCTCCCCCATGTGTTGCATTATAAATGCAATAAACAACCTGGATCCTAATGAAACAAGCAGTCTTGCCTTTGGCCAGCTGCCCTAAATGTAACAATGCGGTTGTGTGGTGTAGCGTTTCTCTGAATTTGCCAGATGACCTGTTTGTGAGGACTCATGGTGTGATTTCAAATATTTATGCTCCTTGTTTTGTTACTCTTTCACTTGAAATGATCATTGACGTCAACTGTACAGGATATCTGACATAATCTTTTGTTGATGTCAAGGCATTTTATAACATATCACAGAAGGAATTTGAGATTTTAAATTGTAAGTACCTTTGAATTATCTAAAGGGTCTGTGGACTGCACCAGAGTCAATGGGCTGAACCTTAATTATTTGTGGTTTTATCTCATTATCATTTGTAAGGGATAAAAACTTAACAATGCATGCCGTTGTTAAACTAAGATGTCATGCTTTCACAGTTGTTGACCATGGATCATTGGGACGCTTGTACTATTCAGTCTTGAAATGACTGATCAGAACTGCAGATTTCTGTTGGATGCATTGACAGATTGCAAACTGTCATCTTTTACAAACTATGTGAAATAACTAGCTTCCAGTCTGTCCTCCATGTTTCGATCTTCAGGTGATTGCCAAAGTGATGAAAGAAAATGTATGCATTTCAAAGAAAGGAACATCCTTCCTTTCCTCGAGCAGTGCTGAACTGTGGTGCATATCCGTCCATGTTGATCCATGACCATTGTAATTTAAGGTGAAAGCAAAAACCTTTGGCTCAGTGTTGTGTGTGATGTCTTATCACTTTGTGTGTTTGTGGTGAGGATCTGATGGCACCAGTGAGTATGAATTAATGACAACCAGTGAGGCGAGGGGGTACTGCATTTATTGCCGTATTTATTCCTCTGTGCTCAGCACCTCAAATCCTGCATTGTACTGAAGGCAAGAAGCTGTCAATAAAATGGGTCTGAAATGCAATTATTATTTTTTCTCGTCTCACTGTTACCAAGTAATCCTCATCCTTCTGTTACTGCCTCAACAAACAATTCACCAATAGTGAATATTTATCCATCTCCGAGAAGTAAATCACAGATGTTGAAGGTTACACATTTACATTGGACCTGACCTTTAAGATGTGGCATGAGTGAAAGCGGGAAGTCTGATTTTTCTGACCTGTACCTGCTTATCTCTTGACTCTTGAGTGCTTTTTTTAATGTCTGCCTTTGACACGTAATGCTAAAAATTAGGGCTAATTTGGAGTGTCATTAAAGGAAGTAGATGGAGCTGATTAGACGGCAGTCAATACAGCAAAGACACAAAGATGCGGAAGAGACGAGGAGCATTTTTGCAATGAATGCAGTCAAGAACAGATATTCTACATGCGGTATATACTACAAAGCATATGATAAGTAAACATACTATGTACATAATCTGTGTTCATTGTCTGCTTGGGAGAGTTTTGTTTTTAATCAGTCCATTCCATGAATTAAAAAAGAGTTGTATGTTGTAAATAAAACAAGTGCATAAAGAGCGTGTCCTGTATCATGCTGTCACACACAGACATTCAAAAGCTGTATAGTACATCACCCAAATCAAAGTGACAGCTTAAAGATATACTACTAAAGGCTGGTTTCTTTAGGAAACTTGGGGTATTTCTTGCTGTTTATATGACTGGTGCTTTCAGAGGCCCCTGGAGCTCAACTTTGTCATAATGTATAGTTACAAGGAAATTCTGAGCTGCTGGGTTGTGAGTCCACATGAAGTGGATGTCCACATTTAGTAGTGACTCATTCTCATATATTATTATTGGCTTGGATTGTGTGAGGCCATCCAGGTGGGTGAAAGAAAATCAGAAATCCTGTTTTTTGTTTGTTTGTTTTGCTTATCAGTGATTTGTAAATGATTAACCACAACTCACAATAAATGAATTAAAAAAATTAGACCCTGTTTTTGCAGTGTACAACAAAACTAAGGCCATATCTGTGCAATATAGCACTAAAATGATGATTCAAAAGTGTACCATCTTACAGTAATTGTGCTAAGTTTATGTGTAAGGTATTTGATGTTATGTATATTAAAAAATGGTGAGGTAGACTTATATTAATTATAATAATCAATAATAATATTGAGGAAAAACTCAACAAATCCCCCTTGAGCAGCTACAGTGGGAAGGGGAAACTCTCTTTAACTGAAGAAACCTCCGACAGGGCGGCCTTCTGCCTCGACAGGTTGGGGTGAGAGGAGAGAGAAAAAAAAAGCAACAAAACACAACCAAGACAACAACAAGTTGTGTTGTGTTTGTGTTGTTTTTCCTTTTCACAAGTTCACAGGCAGTAAAAGTATGAGGAGAAAGGTACAAATGCTCCCCCTCTGACTGCATAAAACTGGAACTGAAATGTTATGTTAATCACATTTTCCAGTCATCTTTGGTAACACATGCCTCTGCTTAAACGATATACAGTGGGTACAGAAAGTATTCAGACCCCCTTAAATTTTTCACTCTTTGTTATATTGCAGCCATATGCTAAAATCATTTAAGTTCATTTTTTTCCTCATTAATGTACACACAGCGCCCCATATTGACAGAAAAACACAGAATGTTTGACATTATTGCAGATTTATTAAAAAAGAAAAACTGAAATATCACATGGTCATAAGTATTCAGACCCTTTGCTCAGTATTTAGTAGAAGCACCCTTTTGAGCTAATACAGCCATGAGTCTTTTTGGGAATGATGCAACAAGTTTTTCACACCTGCATTTGGGGATCCTCTGCC